TATGAAAGGAACTTAAAGGTGATTTTATTTACGCTCTGACTTTTCAGATCTGTTTAAATAATAGAAAATATATAATTTAGTGAACTATTTTGCATAAAGTTCTCACGTGACAATTCTGCCATAAGGTTTAAAAAACTGAAAGGACTATTTTATTCCTAAGATTTGTGTCCTGGGATCCAGAAACAGCCACAGTAATGTAATGCAAATTTACAATGGAAAGACTCTCTGCTGCCATCTAAAGTACAAACTAAGAACTACTAGGCTTTCATTCTGCTGTGTCCCAAAATCAAACTCATGTTAATTCACTAAAGTGTGTATTGACAGGAATTGGAAATCATTTTTACATTTCATGCCATAATAGGCAAAGTCAGCTTTGTTCGCAGTTTGACTATTGGCCTAATATTTTAGATTGTCACTTGCCAAAAACATTATATCCTATTACACCTAGCCACTCTACCAGTCCCATCACAACTACCCACTCCACCAGTCCCATTACAACTACCCACTCCACCAGTCCCATTACACCTACCAACTCCACCAGTCCCATTACACCTACCCACTCCACCAGTCCCATTACACCTACCAACTCCACCAGTCCTATTACAACTACCCACTCTACCAGTCCCATCACAACTACCCACTCCACCAGTCCCATCACACCTACCAACTCCACCAGTCCTATTACAACTACCCACTCCACCAGTCCCATTACACCTACCAACTCCACCAGTCCTATTACAACTACCCACTCTACCAGTCCCATCACAACTACCCACTCCACCAGTCCCATTACAACTACCCACTCCACCAGTCCCATTACACCTACCAACTCCACCAGTCCCATTACACCTACCCACTCTACCAGTCCCATTACAACTACCCACTCTACCAGTCCCATCACAACTACCCACTCTACCAGTCCCATCACAACTACCCACTCCACCAGTCCCATTACAACTACCCACTCCACCAGTCCCATTACACCTACCAACTCCACCAGTCCCACTACACCTACCCACTCCACCAGTCCCATTACACCTACCAACTCCACCAGTCCCATTACACCTACCAACTCTACCAGTCCCATTACAACTACCCACACCACTAGTCCCATTACAACTACCCACTCCACCAGTCCTATTACAACTACCCACTCTACCAGTCCCATTACACCTACCCACTCCACCAGTCCTATTACACCTACCCACTCTACCAGTCCCATTACACCTACCAACTCCACCAGTCCTATTACACCTACCAACTCCACCAGTCCCATTACACCTACCAACTCTACCAGTCCCATTACACCTACCCACTCCACCAGTCCCATTACACCTACCAACTCCACCAGTCCCATTACACCTGCCCACTCTACCAGTCCCATTACAACTACCCACTCTACCAGTCCCATCACAACTACCCACTCTACCAGTCCCATCACAACTACCCACTCCACCAGTCCCATTACAACTACCCACTCCACCAGTCCCATTACACCTACCAACTCCACCAGTCCCACTACACCTACCCACTCCACCAGTCCCATTACACCTACCAACTCCACCAGTCCCATTACACCTACCAACTCTACCAGTCCCATTACAACTACCCACACCACTAGTCCCATTACAACTACCCACTCCACCAGTCCTATTACAACTACCCACTCTACCAGTCCCATTACACCTACCCACTCCACCAGTCCTATTACACCTACCCACTCTACCAGTCCCATTACACCTACCAACTCCACCAGTCCTATTACACCTACCAACTCCACCAGTCCCATTACACCTACCAACTCTACCAGTCCCATTACACCTACCCACTCCACCAGTCCCATCACACCTACCCACTCCACCAGTCCCATTTCACCTACCAACTTCCCTATCCAAATTTCCCCTACTCTCTATGTCCACTTTACCCATCACCATGTTTCACTCCATTATCTCAACTAAACCTGCACATATTTCACCACTACATGTGAATACTACCTAATTTCCTCATTTCAAGCTCCATATTCACACGGGTTTTGTAACATTGAGACAGGCCTTCTCTTTAACTAAAGTGGCCTAGCCCGAATCCTGAAAGAAAAAAAAAGGACCATCATCCCTCGTCCACCAAACTATACAGTAGGCACTAGGCATTCCGGTAGGTATTGTTTGCCAGATCATGAAGCAAGATTCATCGCTTCCGAGAACCTGTTTTCTCTGCTGCCAAGTACAATGGCAACGTGTTTTACGCCATTCCAGTTTGTAATCAGCTGCTCGGCCATGCAAACCCATTTCATTATGCTCACAATGCAATTTGTGTGCTGATATTGCTTCCAAAGGCAGTGCGAAACATTGTAATACACTGCTCAATAAAATAAAGGGAACACAAAAATAACACATCCTAGATCTGAATTAATGAAATATTCTTCTGAAATACTTTGTTCTTTACATAGTTGATTGTGCTGACAACAAAATCACACAAAAATAAAAAAATGGAAATCAAATTTTTCAACCCATGGAGGTCTGGATTTGGAGTCACACTCAAAATTAAAGTGGAAAAACACACTACAGGCTGATCCAACTTTGATGTAATGTTCTTAAAACAAGTCAAAATGAGGCTCAGTAGTCTGTGTGGCCTCCATGTGCCTGTATGACCTCCCTACAACGCCTGCGCATGCTCCTGATGAGGTGGTGGATGGTCTCCTGAGGGATCTCCTCCCTTGGACTAAAGCATCTGCCAACTCCTGGACAGTCTGTGGTGCAACATGACGTTGGTGGATGGAGCGAGACATGATGTCCCAGATGTGCTCAATTGGATTCAGGTCTGGGGAACGAGCGTGCCAGTCCATAGCATCAATGCCTTTGTCATGCAGGAACTGCTTACACACTCCAGCCACATGAGGTCTAGCATTGTCTTGCATTAGGAAGAACCCAGGGCCAACCGCACCAGCATATGGTCTCACAAGGGGTCTGAGGATCTCATCTCGGTACCTAATGGCAGTCAGGCTACCTCTGGCGAGCACACGGAGGGCTGTGCGGCCCCCCAAAGAAATGCCACCCCACACCATTACTGACTCACTGCCAAACCAGTCATGCTGGAGGATATTGCAGGCAGCAGAACGTTCTCCATGGCATCTCCAGACTCTGTCACGTCTGTCACATGTGCTCAGTGTGAACCTGCTTTCATCTGTGAAGAGCACAAGGCGCCAGTGGCGAATTTGCCAATCTTGGTGTTCTCTGGCAAATGCCAAACGTCCTGCACGGTGTTGGGCTGTAAGCACAACCCCCACCTGTGGACGTCGGGCCTTCATACCACCCTCATGTAATCTGACACATGCACATTTGTGGCCTGCTGGAGGTCATTTTGCAGGGCTTTGGCAGTGCTCCTCCTGTTCCTCCTTGCACAAAGACGGAGGTAGCGGTCCTGCTGCTGGGTTGTTGCCCTCCTACGGCCTCTGCCACGTCTCCTGATGCACTGGCCTGTCTCCTGGTAGCGCCTCCATGCTCTGGACACTACGCTGACAGACACAGCAAACCTTCTTGCCATAGCTCGCCAGTGGCGGATCCAGAGCCTGATCTCAGGAGGGGCACTTGTAGATTATTTAAATAAATAATCCAGGCACAATAACCACTACAGCTCAGTGTAGTAGTTATGGTGTCAGTAGTGCCAGGATTCCACCCCAGAGTAAGTAGTCATACCGCTTAAGAACAGTTTGACAACTTACCTGGGGTCTGCTGGGATATAGGAGCAGTGGTGTGTGTTAAGGGTGAAGTGTGTGAGTGCGGCAGTGTATGTCAGGGACAGTGTTTGTGGGGCAGTGTGTGTATGGGGACAGTGTTTGTGGGGCAGTGTGTGTATGGGGACAGTGTTTGTGGGGCAGTGTGTGTGTATTGGGACAGTGTTTGTGGGGCAGTGTGT